CTAAGTTTTGAATATGTATAACCAGTGGATCATAGGAAATTTAAATTAGGTTAATTTCTGCTGGTAATTAGCCACAAGACCTAGTCAGTAATTTCTCTGTACCTCAGTTTCTTACACAATGGACTTTAAATTTCTATTTATTAACTTGTCATGAGAATTAAATATCATATCATGAGAAGAGCCCTTGCACATAGGAAGCACCAGATCAACATTGGCTGCCACTGTTTACTTCACTGCTTGAAAATGGGAGGGTGAATGGCACCATTCTAAGAGCAGGAAACATGAGGAGAGCCCTGAGAAATGCCACTCTAGTGAGGGACTCTGCTTCAAAAATAGTACTATAGTTTTCTGATGGAGTCTGTGCCTAGATCCCCAATTCCCAAAATGGGTACATGGTGAAGGCCCAAATGAATGAGACAGGAAGCGGCATGATCTTCAGGGCTCCAGGAGGACTAGTGCCCTCCTCAGCAGAGCTCGTAACTGTGCCAGCCAGCTGACTGACTGACTCTGGGCAGCCCGTGTTTAATAAAAAAAAAAAACAAGGAGTTGAGTGGAAACCTGAGCAAGACCTTGGGAGGGGTTCAAGGACCCCTCAGAGCAACAGATGATGCTAATTAAGGAAAATATCCAGAAAGTCTCAAGGTGACCTCAGCCGTGGTCCCCCCTGGGGTGTTTGTCACTTCATTCTCAGTTCAGCCATGCCTGAGACATATTCAGCTTCAATGGCTCCAACAGTTTTCTATACTCTTCTGGTTCTCTGGGGGTTTACAATGCTCTGGAAAACTTGACATTGCTCAGGACAATGCGATGTACGTATAAAAAAGAAAAGAAAATTTGGAGTAAGAAATCAAATGACTGAGTAAGCATTTTGCCCAGTCTTTAGCAGAAGTCTAAGGGAAAAGGAAGACAATGATGAGGGATCCCTTCAACATTAGGACCAAGCACACACAGATAAGAGTCGGAGGTATGCCCATTCATTTCTGCACTATCTAAAAGCTCAGAGTAGAGTTGAACCTCCCCTGTTGGCCTTCTGGGAACATCACACGGGCATATCAGACCCAAGAGCGGTCTGTGCAGAGTGAAGCAGAAACAAATACATATGACCTGTTCTGGTGCTGAGCAGAAATGTGTAAGACTAAAACACTGAAAACCAATGCAGGAAAATTACACTGAACCCTGTTTTACATGTCCCCCTCCTATTTATAGTTTCTTTGCCTTTATTAAAGTTTCCAGTAATGTCATGCTGCTTTGGGGAACATGTTTACTCCTGCCCTCTGATATCCACTCCACGGCAAAGAACAGTAAGACTCAAGATTTGGCCAGTAAAAAAGAAGCCAATTCCCAGCAAAGTTCCAGTAACTAGGGGCAGCACCAGAGATTCAGTGTTGCTCAGGGAAGTTCAAAGCTTTGACGAGAACACCCTCAAGGACTGTGGTCTTCACTGAGCATTGGGGGAGACATGTGTGGCCATGTTCAATATAAGGATCTTGGACCAAGTGTCAAGAAGCCTGAGTTAGAGCCCCTACATTGCGTGTGTGTATGCATGTGTGTGTGTGTTTGTATATATGTGTGTATGTGGAAGTCACAAAACTTCTGTGAGCCTTACTTCCCCTGGCATTCAATGGAAGAACTGGATTAGATGATCGAAGGTGTCTTCCAATGTTGTGTGTCTCTCGTATGGTCATACATGGGTCAATCAGATCAGTGAAGTTATGCTGCAGTAACAAAAACCTTGACCTCTCCACTGCCATAACTTAGAGTTACTATTTCTTCCTACAAGTTAAGCTGCAGGTTTAGGCAACTTTCCAGAGCAGTGGCTATCCGTGCTGATGCTGCCACAGGTATTTGTACCATCTGGAGCTCATGGCCCATTGTGATATGTCGATAAAGACACTGACTAGAGAATCATGCATGGCGTTTTCTCTGACTCAGCTCAGAACTGATCTGTATAACTTTCACTCTGTTTGCATTGACCAAAGCCCTGGCAGTAGGGACGGAGCAGCAAGAGAGGGATTAATAATGAAATTTTGCACATTCTGAGAAGAAGAAAGAGCTAGATACTGGTGAATGCTGATAATGTCTACACACAGTTCCTAGTCAGAGACACTTTGTTTGCCCAGCTGTTTTCTGACAGCTGAGGGCAGTAGAAAGGATACTATTAGGTACATCTTACCAAAGAGAAAATGTGGTTGGAGAAATTTTTCAACCTATGCAGGGCCACCAAGCTGCCTATGTCTAGAACAAGACTGGATTTCGTGCCTCATGCCTCCTTATTCCTAATAATGAAGAGAGTCATAGATTTTATATCAGAAGACCTGCATTTGAGTCCATATATTCTTTACATTAAATAGCAACTAACTTTATTAAATCTCTAATCTTAATGAAAAGGTTATAAACCTAGCTCACATTTTCCTTGGGGAAATTAAAGGAGGTATTCAAAAAAGAAAGTATTCTGTGTTTCCCCCAAAATAAGACCTAACTGGAATGTAATCAGTCTTGAAAACTAAAGGCCAAAACTGCCAGCCCCAGCGAGCCTGTCCCCACCTTATCTGCCATCACTATTCTCTAGTGCTGAGGCCAGGGTTGGCTGATTCGGGCTAGCATTTTTTATATCTATTTTTCAAGGCTGATTATTTTTTTAGTTAGGTCTTAGTTTCAGGGAGCATGGTATTACAGAACAAAACAAATGTTAGTCAAATCTACTCTTCTCATTGTAAGATACAGCCTACAGCAAACCTGAGCCGAGGACCAAACCCCAACTCCCCAAAATGGCCCAAATGACCTAGTACCAGTGGACCAGGGGTTCCTTCAACTGAGTGACCTTGCCTGCTTATCTCCATGGTAACAACTCACTTCCTAAACTGTTCCTTCCTGTGTGGGAGGAAACATTTCAGCCATGAGAGAAGAAGGCATCATTTAACAGTGGCTTTTCTCACTGATGACCCTTCTCCTTTGGCAAACTGCATCCTTTTTTGAAAACTGCAGTCTCCTGAGGAAACTGTCCACAGAAGAGGATGTTTCTGTGACTTCGTTTGCAGATGCATGCCCAGAACACGTTTTTAAATGCAGCCTGAGGCTGCTGTTGCTTTAGTTTCACACAATACTCGGTGTTTCTCAGGGCCAGTTCATCGTTCTTTTCATGAACAGATCCCCAAACCGAGAGGCCAGCATGGTGTACTCCTGTTGAAAGAAAGAGGTCAAAGAGGTTGGGTAGCTTCCCCAGAGCTTCAGACCAAAGTTGGTCTAAAAAACCAGACATAACAAGATCAGGTGTCTATTGGCTTCCTTTGTCAAACACCCTGCTCGTTGGCTATCCACTCCCAGCCAGAGCTACCACTCCGGTCAGTTACTGACTTATTTCCCTGGCAGCTCTAGACTCCACCTCCTGTTCAGTCCCCGGAGACATGCTGTGCCCCAGGATTTTCTCTAGCCAGGAGCCCAAACTTAGGGTAAGGAAGGGTATAGAGCAAATTCGTACACTGGACGTTAAATGACATTTTAAGTTCAATGTTCTGCCTTCTCTGCAATGTTTAAGGTTAGAGCATTTTACAGGATGATAAATGACCTTTCTTCATCTGAGCTCTGGACATGAATGTCTGACCGTGAGCTCTCCAACCACAGCTCTGAATGCATTGCAGGTCCACTTTCCAACCAAGATTGTGAGCCAAGAGAGCTCATTTCCTGGCCCAACTTCTGCTCTTCCCGGTAGTTTTGATCCCGTGATTCTATCCACAAAAGAAATCTTCTTCTCTTCAGCATCCCTGCCTGACTCTGACGTACTAAGGTGTAATTAGAACAGCATGGAGCAAGCAAGAGAGTCCATTTACCTCATCCCTGCATTTTTAAGAGCTTTCAAAGTGTGTTTCTAATATCTTAGGTGCACGGGGCCAAATTCCCTTCTCAGCTTTTCACATGCATGAGTAAATCCACACAGTCTAAACCCCTTGGGCCTTAGGTTCTGCTTAGAAGTTTTTTTTTTTTTAAAGAAAACAAATATTCCATTAAAACAACATAGTGTACTCTGCATATTTTTAGGACAATTAGAGTTTAGAATTCCCTCTTCTTCCGCCCATGGTAAGAAAAAGTTTTTCTTAACTGTTTCCTTACCAAGAATGACACTAAACTGGAATAAACTAAAAGCTTTCCAATCATCGAAAATTGTCTCACTTGGCATAGTCAAAGTATCCAGTGGTGAGTTAAAGTTTCTGGATGTTTTCAGGAAGGTTCTGGGTCCCCTTCTCCAGGTAAAATGTTTAGGTAGACAAGTCTTTGAAAGCCTAGTGGGAATATTTTCTTGAAATGTAAACACCAGTCTCCTAGGAAACATAAAAATAAGGAGATTTTCAGCCATCTGCTGCATTCTAAAATGGGTCATGAGTTTTGGTAATTCTTCTTTAGCACTCTGACCTTGTAAAAATCATAAAGGAGAAGCTGCAGCCCTTTGGCCGTGCTCCAGCCTGTGGGAAAGAGGTACAGGGAGGGCAAGGGAGGAACCAGTCACCAGTCTCCATACGGAGAAGACGAGGAGAGAACGAGCCATCCCCACCTCCTGGACGCTGCCTCATTCCGTTCCCAGATTTGTGTTGTATAAACCACAGTGCCCTGCCCATTAACCCATGGTGTTGCACCACGCACGGGGACAATGTCTGTCAAGTCAGGGTGCAAATCAAATGTTTTCTTGCAACAAACTCTGGAATAACATCTCAACAACATTTGTCAATTTGCTACACATTCAAATCCAAAAGCTCCACAGCCTTTGGAGTACTTGATACAGGAAATCTTCAGCTTGTTCTCCATTCATTGCAAAACAGGTTGAAGTCTATCAAAGGATGGGAAAGCCATGCCTGGCTCACCCCATGGTTTGTGCAGCAGGAAGATATGCCTTCTGCAGAATTTCGACTTAGAAAGATACACACAATCCACAGAAGGCTTGGAGCATATGCCTGTTATGTCTTCAAAATGAGAAATTGTATTGAAGAATCAAAAAGAGAACTCCAGACTTCCATGGAAAATGTGTTTGTTTATTTAAATTAAAAAATATTGTGAAAATTACAAACCATTAAATACAAAAGACAATTGTATACAACTCAATAGAATAAGAAGGAAGTATATACATCACTTTTTAAGAGGCGCAGATAGACTTGCACCAAACTTCAGAACTAAGCAATGGAAAATGTGACTCTGCACATGTCCGTCACTGTGAAGTTTCAGAATTCAAGTGATTCCAGGCAAGAGGCCAAACTGAACTTGGCTTCTTTCAACTTAAACGGCCCCCTTTGGAGTAAATCTACACTCTGAATTTTAAAGTGAATTTTAACCCTGTTTCCCCAAACATAAATTTCCTCTAGCTGTGTGTCAAAGTGAACTGATAAACCAGTTCCAACACTGTTAACCATTTCGTGAGAACTGTAGTCATGCTTACATTTCCAATCCAGGGATATTATGTTTTAAAACAATAACAAAAGGATTTGTTCCCCTAGAACTAAATTTGACCTTTCAGCGTGTCTTGTCTTCAAGGGCTCATAGTTTCTGCTACCCGACTGTCACTGATCACAGGAACACTATACGTGCAGACACTGGTAAGCAGTTGTGAGATCTCCCCTTAGACTTCTCTTTCTCTCAGCTGGGTGTATTAAGAGCCCACCACACAGAGAACTTTGCAGACCAAAATGTGGTACAGCTTCTGCCTCTTTGGTTCAATCCTGGGAAAACTATAGCAGGACTGGTTTGTGATTAGCCCCAAATTCCCCAGTCACATGTGTTCGCCAACTGCTCCTTTAAATCAGCAGATCCTTTTTACAGACTAAGTGGCCAAAGGGGAACTATTTGGTCTGAGCTTCTTCACAACAGGCCACGGAGGGTTGATCACAGAGTCTAAAATCCAAAGACATCCTCCCAGCCCCCTGGGGCGGCACATCCTCCAGAGCCCCAGGAAGCCAATAAGCCTTTGACGACATGTCCAGGACCACACAGCATATGAGCATCAGGGCTCTGAATCTGGAGGCCACAGAACTTGGACCCCAGCTGGAATACGCCCATCTAGGACTAACCTACCTGATGAAGTTCCATGTTGTAAGGTCCCATAAAACACCCCTCTCAGAAAACTAATCTGGGAAAATGAGACACAGTAAAGGGATTGGCATGGTCTTGTTCAGCCCCATCATTCTTACCCCTTCTGGAAAGATTTGAAGAGCCCTCTGCATGGCTATTCAGAATACAGAGTCGAGGGAAGCTCTCCAACCACAGGAAAGTCATAGCAGCGTGCTGGACAGGCACAAGTCACAATGCCAGTTCATCTCTTACAACCTCAGCTAATTTAACAAGTTTAAAAGCTGTCTTTTTCCCTTTACATTGTACAAACAGGTTGGGTTTACCCCTTCAAAGGGGTTTTCTCCCTTCAAAAAACAAAAAATACTCCATCAAGTTCTCCCCCTCCAATCCAAGACTTCCAAAGGAAGCCTCTATGATTTAATGTCACAGGTGCACAGTAGTGATACTTACAACCAATCACGTCTAGAAGAGCAAAGCTCTAGGCGATGAGCGAATCAAAACGAGTCCCTCAGTTCACCCTAGGCGTTTGAAAGTTGCTGCGAAATCACCCAGGGCGTCCACTGAGAAAATAGGAGCTCGTCAGTCTGCCAGATACTGAACGGGAATCCCACACTCAGACCCCAAAGTAAATGTACACACGGTGCGTCTTCAGGGCGTGAGGCCCTCGAGGCCTGCGGGTGAGCCCTATCTCCCATCTTACCCCACGTGGGGGGTTTACGAGGGTGGCATCTCTTCAAAGTGACGCTGCACTATAAAAAGTGAAACAGGCACTTGAAAAATCCCTCTCCTATCTCTAAAGGACCTGGCTGAGGGAGCCGCTGTGAGGGGCCCCGGGGGTGCTAGGAATTCTGGTGAATGTTCTCCGAGGACCCCTCGCTGCTTTCGTTGAGAGGCGTCTCAGAAGTCTCCTCCAGCTCATCGTCCGCCCCCTCTTCCTGGATGGTGAAGTGCACGTCGGGGGAGGAGGACTCGGAGCTCACGCTGTCCCCCTCCATGGAGCACAGTGTGCAGGACAGTGCGGGCGCCATGCTCTCCTGCAGCATGGTCAGCATCATGGGCACCTGCAGCGACCTCAGGCCGGACACCACAGGCAGCGGCTTCATGGCCTCCCCCCAGAGCCTCTCCTCGTCTTTGTAGAGCAGCAGGAGGCTGGACTTCTTCTCCCGCCTCTTGGACTTCATGTAGCCCAGCATGATTCCAATCAAGAAAACGCCGTAGAAGGACATGACAACCAGGACGTAGAAATACTCATTGCCGTTGCTGCCGCCGCTGCCAGACACATGGGACTGGAAGGGCCTGCTGGAGGCTGCAGTGCTCGGGTGTGTGCTATTCAGGGGCTCCATCGTGGGCACTGAGGCGCTGCGCACACTGCAGGGTCTGGGGAGAAAGCTGCAGGTTAGAGCTCTCCGGATCCAGGGTACACAGAGGCGTGAGAGAACAGGGTTTGTGGGGCTGCAATATTAAAAGTGTTTCCAAGTGCATGAAAGAAATAGCAGCAAGAAGTTCCATTAAACAGTTAACAGGGCTTAGCTATGCAAGCCTGGAGAGGCTGGAGGAAAAAAGGGAGGGGAGAGGAAAGGTAAAAACTTTCACTTTTTAATGTCTCAGTATGGTATACACAGCTGTCTTACTTGCATTTCATAAAATGAGCATGCATTATTTTTATACTTTAAAAAATTCCAGTAAGCTACAGGGAGACATAGAGAAAACAAACATCTTAAAAACTGAGAGACAGGCTTTAACCAACAGAGGAGAGACCATTCACGTTTTGCTGCTGAAACTTAAATGCTTTTAATTCACAACAAATATTTTTTAGAACCAAAAAGAAAAAAAAAAAAAGAAATAGAAAGAAAAGGAAAATTCTTATGTTCATAGGCAGAAATATTTCCCTTTGCAAGGTTTCTGGAGCACACAGCATTGCAGACTTACCAAGGCTGACGATTTGCCCCAAGTCCTGAATTCCTGACTTGCCGAGTTCAACCGCGTTGCTCCTCTGTGCGTGGCTGCCGCTCTGACAGCTGTGCCGCTGTCCTCGGGATATATAGTCAAGAAATGCATCGTCACGTGTTCCGGGAGGAAGATTTACAACAGCAGCTGACCGTGGCAGAATAAGCAGTGAACTCAAAGCACTGTAGTTCAACTCTCTGAACTTTGCAGCTGTGCAATGAGAAAGCCTGGGGGGTGGAAACTGCTCCTCACTCACCACCAATGTTGAGCCAGAACTTTCAGGTGGCTGTGCAAATGAGTGACAGTGGGACAAAAGACTGTGCTCCGTGGCAGCGGTTACTACAAAGTCCACTCTCACTGAAGATGACTTCATGCTTTCTTTCCCTCTTGGGTGATAACCAGTCTGTTACCTCTGGGCTTTCACAAGCAGTCACATCACTGAATGAAAGATTTGGGGGCAAGGGCAGAGTTTACTGTCAAGAAACTAAACCTTAAATTTCAGCTCTTCCACTATGCAATGCTGACAAATCTTTTATTAACCGTTCCACACCTCAGCTCCGTGACCCCTACAATCACTGGGCATGGGGAGTTTTTGCCTGTAGAATTCTATGAACCCTGGAAACTTGAAGTTCCTTTCAGCTGGACCGTGCCAAGAGTTAAGACTGGCTAGCACAGGTTTTCCTCTTAAAAATCCCAGGGAGATCTCTCCTGTCTTATTCACCAAGCTCACAAATTTATTTTTCAAAAGCCATTAGTTTTTAAATGTTCCAGATTCTTTTCAGTGGACTGCACGCCACTGTTAGGCTGGCTCTGTTCTCCCATGCGCAGCCACTCCCCCGAAGCATCACACAGACATCTTTCACAGTCCCCGGGCTGCCTCTGGCAGCTCACCAGGTGGCCAGAGCAGCTGCTGTTGTCTGTGGGCCATGAGCCCACTGAGCACAGTCCAAGTTCTGAACACCTAGATAAACTCTGCGTTATAGTGACAACTCTGATCAAAACTGGAGGAAGGCTTGAAGACTCTGATGCCAGTCCCTCCAACCCTGGCACACAAATTCAGACACTCTCACTCTGAATGAAAGTGAACTAGAAAAGTCTATCTGCCTCCAGTTATCTGTGACCTATGAATTGTGGCCAGGCCATCTTGTGAGCCAACTTGAAAGGCAACAGTCTTTATGGTTCTGCTGTTGTCCAGCTAAAGTTGAAGGGGAAATGTGAAAATACCTTTCTGATCCTTCTAGCACATGTAAAGCCCGGGTCCTGGAACTCTCCCTGGATATGTGAATTAGTGATTCTAAAGGAACGGCTATGGAGAGAGTGGACCACGAGTCTCTGCTGCAGTTTTTCCCACTGGGCCACTCACCAACTGTTTTGGGTTGTGCTCATCGCCACGTCCTCAGCTGGTACTACCCACAGTCCCAACATCAAGATCATCCACATGGTGGAATTCATAAAGATACCCTCACAACCATGTCAGTCCTTAAAAGCTCCACTGCTCCCTTGGCCACTGAGGCCTGCCCTTTCCAACCTGTGTCCATGAGCCCTGACAGATGAGAGAGTCTACATTGTGTCCTACAGAGGTGCCTGGAACACAAAACCAAAGCAGACCCTGAGGACTCATGCGTGCATCGGTTGCTGACACAAGAATTGTGGATTGTGAGCCTTGGGATACTCAAGACTGGTAATCACTCGGAGACTGTCACAGGCTGGGAACAGGAAGATTCATGGAGACAGACAGGAGGTGGGGAGAAGGGCTACCCAGGAAGGAAGGGCAGGAAGTACAAAGCCTGCTACCAGGAAATCAACCAGAAGCTGAAGTTTCAAACAAAATAAACTTCCAAACAGAAGTCAACAACCCAAAGCAGTAAAAACCAAGTGAAGACATGCATGCTGGAACAAGCCTAGGACAGAGGCCAAAGGACTCAGCAAATCAGAGACATTAGAAGAACAAAATCCACCTCCATCCCAGGAGCAGAGAGGGGCAGCCTGAATGAAATTTCACTCGGTACTGGAAAGTGTCTTTGATCACCTCGCCCCGCGTGGATGTTTCTACTATAGTTCAGTGAAATGATGCCTGTAAAATTCGTAGCACTAGTTGGCAGAAAGTGTGTGCTCACTTTATGAGTATAGTTGTCACTGCTGAGAGTCCTGTGGCTCCACAGGCTTCCAGTGGCTTCTCCAAGTGCCTGGACCTCTCTCCAGACGCTTCACTGCTGCCCTCGCTTATTCTGTCCCTCAGCTTCTACCCCAGGAATGGAACTTAAATTTGGGGGCTTGCAACCTCCTGACACCTCGGTGTTCTCTCCAGCCCTCCATCGTGGCAAAATGTAACAATTGTGACTGAAATAATGGCATAACTAATGAATGGGAGGGCCGAGTACCTAGGAAGTACCCTCTGTCAAAGAAAGGAAGGGCATATAAAATTATATCCATGTTGCATCATGGTATGGGGAGCCTGCAATGTTAAAGAAATAAATCTGCCTCCTAGATCCTTGCTCCTCTGTGGCTTACATTTCCATTTCCTTCCTAGGGTCTTTTAAAGAACATTGCTTAATGATAAAGTCCAATGTATCAAAAATTTTATGACTGTCCTTTGTGAATCCTGTTTAGCAAATCTTTGCTAAACACAAGATCAGGAAGATTTTCTTCTATATCTTTTCTAAAGTTTTTACAGTTGTTTTGTGTATTTAAGTCTATGGTCCACTTAGTAAATATAGCAAGTTTTGTTTTGTTTTGGGGTATTTTTCTTTTTGCAATCAGTCCAGCACCTTTTGCTGAAAACACTAGCTTTTTCCTACTGAATTATCTTGAAAACTGTGTCCAAAATCTATTAACCATATTTGCTTAGGTCTGTTTTGAGAGTCTTTATTATGTTTCTTTTCTTTGTCAATGCTTGTAACACTATTATATTGTTTTGATAAACCTTTTTTAAATGCACACTTTCAATTATGTCTAGCTTATGCTGCAGGTAATATCTAGCTGCCTATTGGGTACTAGGTCCATGTTGATTCCGTAAGTACTGCCATAATCCCTTGATTGGTAATAAAGCTGAAGTTCAGAGACGCTAAGCAAACTATTCAAGCCTATGCCATGAGTTGGGATTCAAATCTGGGTCTCTACAACTCCAAACCCATTCTTTTTAAACTATAATTTGTGAGCCAAGAAAAGAACTGAGAGTACAAAGTAAAGATTGTTACTTCTTCCAATTTCTTTTGGATCTTCATAAACCTTTAAAAAAAAACCTAGATAACCAAATACTCAAACATAAATGCAAACTTGCAATTACAAAATGCTTCTTCTGAACTCATGCTGTTTTCAGTACAGAAGGCTGCCCCTCTAGAATGCTCTAGAAGCTGCAGTACAGCAGTAACTCCCTTGCCTTGTGTTCATGCAGCCACCAGTATAACAATTTCTCATGTGCTTGTGTACACAGATCAATTCTGGCTTTGTTTTGGTGTTCCGTCCTGTTTTCCCTCCTTATATATTTTTTTCCTAGTTGATCCTGACTCACACTTTCTCCTGAGCTTTGATGGAGTGCTTCTATTTCCTGGTAACGTCATTTTTACTAGATGACCAAGCAGTCCCAGGCCACACAACTCTGAAATTATGTTAACAGCTCATGTAACTAAACAAAGTCCGTGCTGGGAGAACAGCACAAGCATGAATCTCATCGTATTGAACTAAGTCTAGAGTCTGGAGATCTGGCCAGGCTCCTTCCTACCCGAGCTACGTGACTGGATATGTTGCATAATTTCTGTGTTTCAGTTTTAACCATGTGCAGGCATGACAAGAAGAAGATCATTAATTGTGTCAGAATCCTCATAAAGATCCCACAGTCCAACAGGCTGTCCCTCTCCTGAGCAGACCAAGCTCCAAATCTGGCAGGGAACTGCAGAATGACATTTCCAGTGCCCACTGCTCGCCTTGCTTTTCCCAGAAACTCGTTCTGAAAAGTTGTGTCTGGGAACTCTGTCAGGCTTATGCCCTGAGTCACCCTCCCTTGACACATACTTTTTAGCATTCCTAGCCCTAGGAATGGGACAGTACTGAGTGTCTGCCAGGAACTTAATGAGACCTCCAGGCCATCCCTTTAGCACCTGCTGTATCTTGGGAGGATGTGACTGTGACAGGGTCTACCAGAACATCATGCAAAGGAAGACATCATGGGAGAAAACCCAAACTCCCAAAATAAAGCATGAAGTTATGTTAATTCTCCTTTGTCATCTATTATTCAAGTGTTTTATATCTGATTTTTATCTAACAAACATTTGCATGGTGCTTTAGGTGTCTCCAGAACTGCTCTAAGGGTTTTGCAGATTTTATCCTACTTAATACTCATAAAACTCTATGAGGGGATCTCTATTCTCCCCTCCATGATACAGACAAGGAACCTGAAGCACAGATTATTTGAAGTGGCTCAAGTTGATTACACAGTAAGTGACAGAGCTGCCATTGGAATCCAGAGCTGAGAAAAAAAAAGAAAATCATTGAATCTACCTCTGTGGATTATACAGATGATGCAAGGCACAGAAAACTATCCAGACACTTTATATATAAAGTTACAGAAGTGGTAAATATTACCAAAGAGACAAACAATACTAGGAAAGTCAGTATGAGGTGGAGTTGAACTCCTTAGTGAAATGGGGGGGGGGGGGAGCTGCCTTGAGCGGTTAGCCAGATGCAGGGAAAAGAAAGTTCAGGCCAGGGATCTCTGCAGAAAGACCCCTTGAGGAAGAGATAGAGAGGGGAAAGGGATGACAAGAATGAGAATTAAAATTTTATAAGGACTCAGCCAAGGCGATGGGTGCCAGGGAAAAAGACCACATATGCACCACCAAGAGACCTGGGGGCAGGAGACCAGGAGAGGCAGAACAGAAATCCCCAACCTGAAGAGATGAAGTGCACACCAGAGAGGCAACCCCAGGTCCAGGAGTGAGTGTGGAACAGCTGGGGGCTGACTGAGTGCATAATTCCACCCTGAGCACAAACCAAAGACCCAGAAGTGCAAAGTGCACCTGCGCAGTCAGAGTGCCAAGGAAACAGAGCCAGCCACCGACTGACTTATCGAGTGTGTTTGTAAAGTCATTCTTGAAGTGTGGATTCTGCTTCCAAAGTTCTTGTGAAGCGTTCCAGACAACTTCAATAAAGCACTTAAGTGTACCTGTCATAATTCTCAAAGACTGTCAGAGTGTATTTGGAACAATCCGTGGTCAA